CCTGTAGGGAGCGACACAGGACACCAATTATCATTAAGATCTAGTTTTAGAGGCTCAGAGTTCTTGTTTATGAAAACACAGCAGTACAGATCTGATGGTGAATGAAATAAGATACATATATTTGATAACTGAAGTCATGACATTACGTGTGGGTGAGACGGGTGGGGAGGGCATAGTAAATATCTCAGTGGTCTATGTGCACAATTTCCAGCTGAGGTTGAAAACTCAAAGTGTTTATTGCGAGATATGACATTGTATCCATAGATTTGTCACATTGTATATGATATCTTAGACTGTGTACTTTCAAGTGTTTCCGGTTCAGTCTGCACCGCTAAATTCGCCTCAGTTTGAGTCAAATGAAGGACAAAGTGAGAAGCTACTGTCAGCGCGGGACAATAATAGCGAAACTGGTTTTTTTTTTTTTCTTTTTTAAAATAAAAGAACGGTAATCCATCCACTAGAGATAACCGAGACACAGATTTCTCTATGTCTCATCAGCTTCTGCAGTGTCCGTCCTACTCACCAGTGGGCACAAGACCGGAGGAAAAGTCGTGAACAGATGAAGAGCACAGGGGGACAACGACCATAGTCACGAACTGGACATTGTGAGGGTGTTAATTTTAAAAGCTTGAGGACTCATAACTTCATATTTGTTTGACTGGTGATTTATTGTTCAGTGTTGTTGAATGGTAAATCTAACAACAATAATCAACCAACAGTTGAACAGAAATACAGTTATGAGTCAACAGGCGTTCAAAATTGAATGATTCCCTCATGATTTTCAGTTTGTAATTTGGGTCTGTTTTTTCCCCTGTGTTCTTCAGGTATTGCTCTTTGATCTGAGCCAAAAGGCCGAGAAGCGAGACTAGGTTTTCTTGTTGTCCTTCATCGCGGCGTAATGGTGCGGTCAGTGGTGCTCATACTTTGCAACGAAGTTTTATAGAGAGCGGAGAGCAGTCGCCATGACAGTGTGCGGTCTAGGAGAGAAAACTTCTATGGATATATTTACTGTTTTCATAAGAAGATAGGGGTAGACGTATTCGATGACGTCACGATAGAATACAAGCGTCAGTTCAATCGGAAAGTGTGCCCTTTAAACACTAACGTTTTTATTCCGTGATAGTGGTAGATTATTACGAGACAGAATTTGACACTGTTTACCTAGGAAGGTCGAGTATATGGGTATTGTCATGTCTACTCGGAACGCCGAGGTCAAATAAATACGTACAGTGAAGACAATTGTTGGGTTTTTGTTTGTATTTGTTTGACGTGATACAGCGTATCTTGCCAACAGAGATGGGGTCAGGTGTATGGATTCTTTGACGTGCAACAGCGTATCTTGCCAACAGAGATGGGGTCAGGTGTATGGATTCTTTGACGTGCAACAGCGTATCTTGCCAACAGAGATGGGGTCAGGTGTATGGATTCTTT